GTGCAGTTAAAGAAAGAGTTCATGCTGCTCTGTTCAGTAAAAAGTGCAACGTGATTTGTCAGATGGTTGTAGAAGGCCTGGAGAGTAAAAGTAGAGTGTTAGAAATACACGAGAGTGGACAGTTTGAGATTGTGTGTGTGTGTATATAGAGAGAGAGCATGCATGTGTACACTTTGGAGCGTACACTCTCCTCCTTTTGTAGCCACTTTCTTTAGTCATATCTCGGTGTCAACAGGGGGCAAAAGAGCTCTCTGGGCCACAGGGAAGCTTATTACCTGTGGTGGCGCTGGGTGAGTCATGGCCTCATCTGTCACGTTGAGCCCGGGCGGATGGTGTGCGGGAGAGCTCTCATTCAAGAGTAATGTGAAGCGTGCTGCCAGGCCCCTCAGCCATTGTCGTCCTGCGGGCTGGGTGATTTACCACTCTCCCCCCCCCTGCCTGTGCATCATTACCAGGGCTCTACACCATCATTGCCCCAGGCACAGCCTGACAGTAAAAGTGCTAATTTATAACACACTGTGTGTGTAAAAAAAAAAGTGCATGGGCCACTTTTTTTTGTTTCAAACCACACACACACACACTTTTTTTTTTAGAGGTTAAAATGCCTTCTGATGATTGTAGTTATCCGTGCACTGTGCTACTCTAACCAGAGAGGATTCACTGTGTCCTCTGTGGAAGGTGAAGTCCTTGAGTTCTGCCTGCCAATGGCAAAAGGTTGTGATAAGAAATCTTGGTGGCAGGTTCATAAGCACAGCTCATTATTTTGTAGCCACAAAATGCGTATTTGCCACGTCTCTTTGAGGCCTGTGGTGAACACTGTGTTCATCCGTGTTACAACTGCTGGCAGTGTTTCCAGACCTGCAGTTTCACGAAGGGCAATGCTCCTCACAGTCATGTCTTACCTTCTGTTACAGATTTGGCTTTATTTTTGGCTTGGTATGAAAACTAGGTTTTTACTTTCCTAAATGGTCAGAAAAGGTTCAGAAAACAAACATTTGTTTGTTTGTAATTTGTGGCGTTGCTTCTGAGAGGAAAAAAGTTTGTATTCACATTTAAAGTACAATTTAAAATTATTACAGCTTTAGGCCGAAATACACGTGTTTACATTTTTTGTCACAGAGTCACTGAATAAAAAGGCTTTTGTGAATCTCCCAACCTGAATAGCCTTGGTGAAAATCAAGATATATTTTCACATTGTTGCTTTAGCTAACACCTGACACCAACAGGAACACTATCTAACACCTTTCTCCTTGGCAGCAAACAGCTGGCAAGGAGCTCTCCACTGCATTACCAGCTGTTTCTGTAAAAACAAAGCATCTGTCATTACCCGCACATGCCTTTGATGTTTTGATGGTACCGTACATTCCTGAAATGCAGGGCTGAGCTGGAGTAGTGTTTTTTTTTATCAAGCCTGTGCCCAAGCAAAACTGACTGTCTTTTTCCAAAATGTTGTTAAAATAGGGAAGACATTCCGTACCTAATTCCTGCTCTTCCAGAATGAACCTCGAAAGGCACTGTGGATTTGTTCTCTTATGTGGCACAGGATTGCAGGAGCACTAGAAAGTTGTAAGACAAAAGAAAAGATTCAAGAGAGACGAGGCCATTTGGCACATGTTGTATAATCGGTAGTTAGTCGCTAGCTGATCCAAGGACTTCATCCAGCTGTTTCTTGGAAAAAAAAAAACAGGGGTTTCAGCTTCAGCGACATAGCTGGGCAGCTTGGTTCATACTCCTACTACCCTTTGTGGAAGTGCCTCTTATTCTCAGAGTGAAATGCACTTCCACATAGTTCAACTTGTGGTCTTGTGATTACTGTACATGGCCTGTGGAAGCTGTTCTCTGTTATCAAACACAAAAAAAAGCAAAACTCTCTGAGGCTCTGTAACAACTGAAGAGATCGGAATACTTAGCAGCACACAGTCTCTTGGGAGTCTTTGGTTTTCCTTTCATTGAGAAGTTAATCTGCAACCACATCTACCAACAAACACGGGAACTCAGGGATGTCTTGGAAGTGAGCCTCTGTCCTGTTTTTTTCCGAGCTGCAGTGTTGAAATAATGTTTGCTTCAGGTGCCCTCAGTGCATTGTAATGATTCAAGAAGTGTATGAGTGCACTATCGCTGTCATCCCCTCAGGTCAGGACTGAGGCGTATTTGTGGACCCAGGGCAGAAGAAGCTGTCATTGCTTAATGGATACAATATTGCGCCTCTGTCTAGGTTCTTAGGTAGGCAACTATTTGTCATGAATGAATAAGTTTTATTAAACATTAACGACAGATTCCAGTGAAATAGAAAAGGATACTGAAGTTAGAAGGGTCTGTTTTGGAACTGGAATCTGCCTTTTCCTTTCTGGAAATAATAATTGGAAAGTGTTTAACAGAAACATAAGAGTTGAAACCATTCCACATATTCCTTTTGATTCTTTTGTAATGGGTTAGAAAAACGCGTAGTGTACAGTAGCTTTCCAGATGTGTAGTAAAAAGGAAAATGGAGTAATTCAGTCTGTGTAGACCTGGGTTTCTTAACTTGCTGTCTGCTGCTCTGTTTTACTTTGACATCAACAGCTGAGTTTTTTTGTTGTTTCTTTGGCTGGTTCTTGAGTTTGGCCTTGCTTTGCAGTTTACTTCACCTGAGTGTGATTTGAATAGCAGTCCACTGCTTTAGACCGAGGAGAGTGAACGTGTAAAAGTGACGTTAAAAAGAGGAATCTGGTTAAGCGTGGGGGCCATTGTTCTTGGTTGGTGTCTGTAAGGCTTTCTTCATTAAATTAAAAAAAGATGCAATCGAACTGAGCCTTTTGCGGGTGGGTTGTTTGAACGTAGAAGCTGAAATCAGAAATGTTCAAGAGGTGCCTTCTGTAATCATACTTTTTATTGTATTCTGTTGTAACTGCTTCTATGCAAAGCGCAGAAAGTAACATACTTTGAAGTGTTTCCTCTGAATAGTGTGTGACAGTGGCATGTGAAAAAGTGTGGAACATGAGAAAAAGGAAACTGAAACTTCCACCGTTATTTCCAGTATTTGGTGCAGAAAATAATAACTGAGGTTTCTTTAAATCCAGGATGAGAAGATGTGACTGGGAAGGAAATGCTGTAATGCTTTTTTAGCTTTTTAAAATGTAGTCTTTTTAATTTTTTTAATGTGCTAACACATTCAGGACTTCATTTTTTCTTATTGATGTCTCTGTGTAGCGGCCTAGTCTTTTTGCATTCAAGAAGAGGTCTGTCATGAGACGTCATTAAAGTCTTCTGCAATCTTTTATTGCTGCTTAAAGGGGAACAGCAACGCTGTTTTTATATTTCGGGGTTGGAAAGAATCAGCATTGATTTTTGATACACAGTAACGTGTAAAAGCTCCAATTCACATCACAAATTAGACATTTCCACGTATGCGCAACGCCATATTGCTGTCCTGCCATTCAGAATGACGCTACAAAACGTCCGGAGATTTAAGTGGCCCTATTACATTGTAAACAAGTAGGCTTGTGAATACATCTCTTTTCATCTAATAGAAATATTGCTCTTGATTTTCTGTGGAGAAGAAGGAGTGGTACAGAAAATATTCATGCCTCTCTATTGAATTTTTTGTGGTCATATTGTAATACGTTCCTAGAACATTAAAAGGTCTGAAAGTTGACGAATTGATATTTGTATAGCAATATTTTAGGATATGTGTAGTTGTAGTTATACTAAGACTTGTTTTTATATACAAATGTCTGTATGTCTGTTTTTGATCATATAGTTATACTGTAATGTCTTTTGTCTCTGTATAATGTGACCTAATGTCTTTCTGGAATTTCTAGGTGTTATGATATTGAAATCTTAGCATGCTGCATGCACTTATGTTGCTTAAAGTCTGAGTTCTTTTTTTAAAAAAAAACTATATACATCTTTAGCACATCAGTTCTCGTCTGATTACTGCTATTACCAAATCTGCTGTTTTGGCTTAAGTACATATTTCTGTTTTGATAATTCCATGCAAAACCAAACAAAAACAGTTATGAATAAAGAATACTTTTGTTTTTGCAATATGTACTGCATGACATATTTTGCTGTGAATTAATGTTTTTGTTTTCCAGCATTTTTGTTTAAAGGCAATCTATGTAATCTGTACTAAATTGTTCATTCATGTATATTGCGTTCTGTGGGCTGTTTGTAGGCAAGCTGCAGTTTGGAAGATGTTTTAGAGGCAATGCAGCAGAGTTTCTCTTCATGAACATGTTTGATTCCATGTGGGTTTTAAAGTGTTTTTCTTGGAGGATCACTTTAATGAGCAGTCCTCATGCAGTATGATATGGACAGTGCTTGAATTATGATGTAAATATCAGAAAGAAATAGTGTTGTTCAGGGTATCTCATAACAAAAGACATAGGACCATGTAGAAAAAACTATTGTAGCATTGTAGCTTAAAGCACTGGAATTTTTTATTGTTTCTAATGTCATGGTTTAAGTACCCAAGGTATTAAAATCTTGTTAACTCACAAATGTTCATTTTCAAATGTTCTAATTATTCTGATCATTTCCTTTTAAAAACGACATTGCAATAAAAAACACTCAGGTAACAGACCAACTGACCTTTCCAGTTGCAGACTTTCTTCCTTGTGGATCCAAGGCTAAATAGTCTCCACTTGGCTATGTGCACATCAGGAGGTTCTTAGAACTGCGGCTACATGCCAGTGACCTGTGAATGGTATAAAATTCAGGAGAGGGAGTTTCTGTTTTCCATCGAATAAAGAAGGTGTCCATTATGGCTCCATCCATTGTTTTTCAGTGAATTTAGCACGGGCCAATATTAGAAATGGAAAATCACCTCACAGCCTGTGCCAATTAAACTTTGGGAGTTAACAGAGTGAAAATGGATTTTAAAACCTTAGGTAATGCAAGTCAGTGTATTTGTAATGTATTAGAAGCCCTGATGAACCAACGTTGAACGCTAGATGTTTTATTTTTTCTTTTTCTTTTTGATGTCCATTATAATAATGAACTCTTGATGTATTTTTCAGATTGCATATCCATTCCCTACCTTAGCTTTTCCAAGAATGGCAAGCGGGCACTCTACTGACAAATTCAGTTTCTTGTACCAACCTGAAAGCTGTCAAAACATGAAGAGGTCAGTGTAGAACTACTTAAATGCTTTGATGTCCAACACTGCTGATGATGGGGCTGGATGAGTTGGCTTATTACAAAGAAGGAAAGAAACCACCATGTCCATCAAGCCATGCCCTTGAATGTCAGAATGATGATCTTTTCTAATAAACAGACTCTTTCTATGTATGCCTTAAACTGATCTGTTTTGTTCCTGTGTGTTAAGTGCAGTTTTCATGTCTGCTTAGCATAAAACATGTTCTATTTGTCTTTAAGTGTCCATGTGTTTATTTTTATTTTGTGGGTTCATTATTCACTGCCAGGATGTTGGTGCTAAACGAACTGAAGGCATAACCTCTATTTTCCTCAAGTGCTCTGTTGTTTTTGTCAACTACTTTCAGTTACATTGATATGAGCACTTTCTCCATAAGTTGTGATCTGTGAAAATTGTATGGAAAATGATACTGATATTTGTAGAGGCCATGGTATTTCTTCATTGTTACAGAGCTTGGGAAGTTATCTAACAGCCGTCTGGAGTGGTCACTCTGTAGAGTTGGGATACACAAAAAACCACTGACTCAAAGGTGAACTGTTTGCAATGACATAGACATGAGTCTGGTCAGAATGTCTTGAATCAACTTGCCTGCTTTATGGTGCCGTTGTGGTTGGGCCCAATAAAATATATATTTTTTTCACACACACACAGGATGTTGTATGTCTGTTTCATATCAAAATAAGCTGCAGCAGAACTTGTAAAACGCTTGTGTGCTGCTTACACAATACTCTTTGGGTTGCAATGTCTTATTGCCACATCTTTCTGATCAGTAACGTAAGGGTCTGAACGTGCAATAACCTCTGTTTCGCCCCTTTTCAGTTATTTGAGTTTTTCATGAAAGCAGTGCATTCAGAACTGTATTTATTCATGCACCTTCAATTGCTCTTGAATTGTTTCACAGGTGTTGTGTTTTTGATTATTGAGAATCAGTCTTCTGCCCATTTACTGCATCCTGCCATGCATAGTGAATAAGACCGAGCTACCAGATGCAACGTTGTCTGTTTTGCTCTTTCCTTTTTGAGGTTTTACCTTTGTGTTTAGACTGTTCTTTTTAATATTGCACAGTCCCTTTGTTTAACTGAAACAAGAGCACGCAGTTGTGTATAGGTTATCAGGAAAATGTTTGTCCGCAACACTAGTTAAATTTGGCATCTGAATTTTGAGGTGGTTAATATGTCAACTTTGAATTTGGGGCAAAAGCAGTGGACAATAAAGGTGTTTTGTTACAAGGCTGAAATAAATATCCAGTCAAAAGCTTATCAGCTTTACAGCCACTCTTTCAGAAAACCCAAATCTTTAACTTTTAACAGCTTAAAGTGTTTATTTTTATTCACTGGGCAGATGCATTTGTCCAAATTACCTTACAATTGAGATAACAGTAGAACAAACAATAAAATTGCAAAAAGAAATGCAGCCTTAAGTGTTAGAATGTATTTGCTGCTTGACCGTGTTCCCTCCTGTATTATGTATAGATTCAGTGTGCAGATATGATGTGCTTATTATCATTTAAACTTCATCACATCCATAAAGCAAAAACAATGTGCAGATGTGTTGAAATCCAAAGTCTGTCCTATGTCTTGTCACTGTTAACAGTACCAGAGAGGAGAAAAAGGATTCAGTATTCCTCTGTATTTCCTTTTTTTCCTTCCTCTCTGTGTTTGTTCTGTTAAATGAATGTGGAAAACGATAACATAGTGATTTCTGTGTCTATTCAAAGAATACAAATTAATTTTTCCTTTTAGCTAAATATTTTTACAAATGCTGACCAAATGTGGTAAAGATGCCAGGCTAAATTTCTAGGGTTGTAGGACCTTTTGAGATGTCACATTTAACACTGTCTGCAGTGTCTGTTATTATTGTAGCTCTCAGGCCAAAAACACACTGTGTTTGCCAAACACATAGGAAAGGAAGATTAGGGGGCAGTGTGTATTGCCTCATTTAGAATTGCAACATAGACAAAGGATTAATTATAACTAAATGATGATGTATTCAAAATAAAACAGTTGACCCCAAAGACCTCATCATCTATTAATGAGGGGGTCAGCGGTTTTATTTGTTCATCTTTTAATGTAGGTCTGGGCCCTTCAGAGCAACTCTTCACTGAAGCGAAAATGTCCTTGAATCACTTTCCCCTTCTTTCACCAGTGGGGAAAGGTGGCTGGCTCACTGCGGAGAATTGATTGACAGAACCATTTACACACTTCCCAGCTTCTGCGGCAAAGCTTTTAGTGGATAATGTGATAGTTTTGACACAAAACTCTTGTCGGCATCCCAGGGGACAGCCCGATTCATTTTGATTGCAATTTGGCTCTGAAGAGGAATTATGTTATCGCTGTAATAATGCAGTACAATGAAATGACTTTGAAGGGTGATATCTCTGAAGATGTGGTTTAGTGGATATATTAGTCCAGTCCAGGTAAAGGAATTTCTCGGGCTTGGTTTTGTAATAGGTTTGCTGTCTCTTAAGTCAAGCATCTGTTCTCAGCCTTGAGCTGCTTCAGTTCCATAGGGTGTACTTGTATTAATACTTTGCAGTATTAGTGACGTATTAGTGAGGAAAAGATCGGAGAACGCTCAGCTTGTGTGTCGCATCACCTGCATCTTTTAATGTGCTTTCCTACATCTAAATTCCAAAGCAGAACCCAAAAAAGCAAAGGCTTATTTTATCACTTTCTGGTCACATGCTGTTTTTGACCAAAAAAATAATATTCTCTGTTCTGCTGAGTAGTGGCAGCAGTTTTAACAGTTGTTGTGGTGAGCTATTGGTACTCATTTCTTATGTTAGTACCGACTCTTGAGTCCTGCAGGAATGTGCTCTTTAATGGTCTCAGTGGCTGCATTTCTGCCATTTCAGCCTCTGTCTAAAACACATCCTGATGCAGTCCACGTGTCTGTGGCTCAGTGTTTAAGCTATTTCAGCTGCATATGCATCTGTGATCTTAAAACAGACCAGCAGCCACTTTTCCCATATCTATAATCTAAAAGGACGTGAGGAGGGATAATGTCAAATATAGTTTATGGAGCATTTCTGCTGCTCTCTTTATTAGGAGCAATATTATAAATTGTTTAATTGGTTTGTTAAATAATGCAGTCTTATAAACCACCATTGTGAAGATGCATTAGTTGCCAACATTCTTCATAATGCAATATGTGCATGTTAAACATCAGAAAGGCTACAGGTAATAGCCATTTGGCTTATTCTGTTCATCTGTTTCTATTTCTCATAAAAACATGTAATGTCTGTGTGTTTCATTGTAAAACAAATGGGCCGATATGAATTAATGTGCGAGACGCATTTGAAGGTGGCACAACTTAAAAAAAAATCTCAGATGCGATCCGTTTATTTAAAGCTTGGGAACGCCTGGTATTCAAGTAAGGGTTCTTCCTAAGGCGAAGAGTGGCTGTTCTGCGTCTCAGTGGTGTAGTTCACGACAAAAAAAACAAAACACCAGTTTGAGACCAAAATACAGGTGGCACGTATTGGTAAGAAATAAAACACTTTATACAGTAAATGAGCATTATCATCACGTAGCATATGAAAATAATGATCTGGCAGAATCTAGGAATCTTGGAACTGATGGACTGCATTTGAGACAGTGATATGGTGTCTGGGATTTATCACTAAGCTCCTCTCAATTTTTGATAGCTCAGATGTAATATATAATATACAGTATATGCCGCAATGGGCAGGCAAGTACTAGCACTGGACTTTACAAATAAAGCTAAAAGACGGAGTTCTACAAGGATTGCCTTTGATAACATCTGTATTGCATGTTAGGTAATAGCTTAAGGCATAGAAACAGAATGTTCAAAGCCTTCTCTGTTTTTTTTTAAGACATTCTCTTGGCACCTGAGTTAAATATATACAGTGAGAACAATGTTTCACTGTTTACAAGAAAAAATACAAATTTAACATTAAACATAAGGGAAGTGAACTGCAATGGAGGCTGGTTTCATAGGGTCCACAAGTGCACGAGTGAAGGTGTTTGTTTGGCAGTTCTGTCTCGTTGAAGCCAGCGGAGATGCCACTAAGTCTTTACTGGCATTGCAGTGTATACCCAACATGTTTTTTTTTTAATGGCACAAGTTTCTCTGCTCTTGGTAAGAGGCGAAGGCAAGATGTTCCGCTACTGTTGCTACCTGGGTAAAGAGCAGCCAGTCTGTTCTCGGTGGCTGTTTCCACGGCATAGTTCCTGTGGCGGTGGAGGGGGTGTGGGGGAGGGGTAGACAGGACTCTTCCTTTGAGAGGTGAATCCAGAATCCTATTTGATTTTCACATGTAGGACTGGAAAGACCCAGTTTCTCTTCTCCCGTTAATTTGCTTTCTCGGTGCATAGGATCGCCACTTTTCTGTCAGAATAAAGAATAAGCTTTGGACCAGGTTCTGGGATGGTTACTATTTCGTTTGGCAGAAACGAGCGTGATGCTGTGTCCGTATGTACACACGCATACATACGGACCATCTTAATTTTCCATTATGTGTAGGTTTCATTATTAGCTGTTCTTTGCTCTTGGGGTAATTCGACTCTTAGTATAGGTACAGCCTTTGTAAGCTAGATATACTTGTGCATGTTTAAGGTTTTTAACATGTAGCACTAAACATTTGTTCATAATGGAAAGTGACTAATTCTTAGTTTCAGTCCATTAAAATTTATCGTGCAGACAGCATTCACTGGCATTGAAGGCAGGACCTGGTATATTGTGTGTTAAACGTGAGATGGAGGGAGCTGCCATTCTCTCAGTTCAGTGTTATGATGGTCCATAGTTGCTGCTAGGCAATGGAGGGTCTCCACAGACAGATTTCAGATAATTACCGCGGCATGCATGTGCAGAATCGGAGAGCACACAGGGCTCAAGAGAAGCTGCCATGTCAGTGAAGCTGCAGTGTTTGTCATAGAGCAGTTGGGGAGTGAAGTGACTGGGAAAAGAATATTAGCCCTAATGTCAGTTGCTGGAGTAGCTCATACAAGCCAAGGGATTTCAAGCCTCTGTGTTAAAATGAGCACACTCCCCTTGCTGGTGTTGACTTTGTGTTAGTTGGTGAGGTCAGAGATCAGTTTGACATAGAGGAACAAAAAGGGGGAAGGAATGAGGCACTGAAAGGTAGTTTTAGTTTTTAATACAAGGGAAGTGAGCTGGGTTCTTCAACAATTCAGTAATATCAGTTAATACTAAATGGCAGACTGAGTAATAGTTTTTTTAAATCGGGAAATCACATGATATGTTAGGCCTATTTTAAGAATCCGTTTGCTTAATACGACTGAATTGCTGTGCTTCATTAAAAAAAAAGCATTTTCCTCTCCTGTGCTCCTCAGGGGAGTCATTGAGCAAGTTTCAGTCAAATTGGCAAAGACTGGCAAAGGCCTGTGGAGCCATTTATTTAAGGAACGTTATGAAGAATGAAATATTACGTTTTAGCAAGGGCAGGCAACATAGCTAAAGCAAAAGGGAATATTTCCTTGTTTGTTGCAGAAACATTGTTCCAATTACTTTACAATACCTCATCACAGACTTAACATATTTAGTGGTTCTGTTATGCATGTTGATGTATAATGTATAAATTGTTTATATTCACAGTTCAATTTGCTAAAATCTTACATCTTACATTTGTATCTGAAATTTGCTGTTTTTCACAGTCTTTTATCTATTACACAGGTGACTAAATCTCTCTATATGAGGTGTGTGCCTTGAAGGATAAAATCTAAAGTATGTGTCGTTTCACTCCACCGTGTTAAAATGAGTATTTTGCCCAAATGTTCCAAATCCTCATGTAAGTGAATAGCCCCCGTTGCAAGTGTTGGCTGGAGGAGTTGGTTATCATTCCTGGCTGGAACAGTCTAGATTCCAGTGGTGTTAATAGTGAGATGGGCAACCCACCCATTTTTACTACCACTACCCTCCTTACAGCCCCAGAAGTCAACCTAAGTAGAGGCCAAACGTGATCTGGTGGGATTCCTAACATTTTGACCATTAGAGAGTATGTCTGTAATGTTGGGGTGTTCGGACAAAGTCAGTCTGAGGTGTTATCGTGATGGCCATCTTTTTGGACTGCAAACCTCTTAACAAGGAATTGGCTAATGTTTTCAGAGATAATTTACCTCATTGTTAAGTTATGCTTATATAATATGTTGGGCTTCATCTATAAGTAATTGTTTTTATTTTTTGTCTTTCAGCAAAAGTAGACTGTCTTCCACTATGAACCCAGTTTACAGTCCCGTACAGCCTGGGACTCCTTATGGAAATCCTAAGAACATGACCTACACAGGTGAGAATCTCCTCAGCTTTCCTCATACCGTCTCATTCTGTGTGGAGTTTGTGGTGTGGAGATTCCAAAAATTGAAGAGGGCAAATTGAGATTTTCATTATGTGTTTCAACCTTTCAAGGGGTTTTAGAATCTTTTAAATCTTCAAAGCACAGACTCCTTCCTTCAGGAAAACCATAGTCAGTGTTGGATGGCATGCATGTATGCAGACTGTGTATAGACAAATTTATGTGTATCCTGCTGTGTTTTCCTTTTACTTGTTTGTGGTGGGCGGCCAGGTTCCTCGGTCCATTTTGTGCACGGAGTAATAAAGATTCCGTTAGGAGCGTTTTAGTGGATCACCCTAAAATCCTTGTTCAGCTCGTATTAAACTCTCATGTGATGTGTTTTTTCCCCTGTTTAATTCAGGCCCCAGTGACACTGGGACTTCACACAAAGGACTGCCGTACTCCGCTTAAGTGTTTCATGTATTTTCCAGATGCTGGTGTACCAGCGCCTACTGTACAGTACATTTGGAATATACCCATATACCCATAGACTCACAGAGTTCATGTACAGTCCTGCCCTTTTTTACACCATGTACTGTTTTTTGGCTATTTATTTTAAAGAAAGGCTTTAGAGCTAAAAACGTCTATGTACAGTATCTCCTTATGTCCTATCCTTTTTTATCTTGGTCCATTTAAGTGAGTTTGCCTTTGACTTCCCATTATCCCCATGACCAAGTTCGAAGTTCTGACTAAATTACTAGGGAATTACATATATGGAGCAGCTTTAAAAAAAAAACTCCCCCACTGATGCGCTTACCAGCAACACTTAGTTCCTTGCTTTTTTTTCTGCTTTACTCCCACAGAGTTGAAGTGTGGTATGTTTTCATACTGTAGCAATGGGGAACCTGTTTAATAACATCTCCAAGCCTATGATCCTGCCTGACAGACAGAGCAGAGTGAGGGAGGGTTATATTCTAGACACATTTGCATAGTCAGATGGATGCCATTTTGAATGAGGATTCCAAGTGATGCTTATTTTACCTGAATAGATCCTGTCAGGATACATTGCACATAGATCTAAAACACTTCAATGCGTTTTGTCCAGTTTTTAATCTATAGATGTCTATAAAGCATTTCCATGTACCTCAAGCATTTTAGGATTGCTGTAGTTATGAGACTCTCATTAAATGTCATAGCTTGACATAACACAGCCTGACATGCTGCCTGTCACACATCAACACATATAAATATCCCTAGGAAGATTAGTGACATTTGATTTCATTCCTCCCCCCCCCACTCTTTCCATCACGATCAGGTCTTGTGTGACAATATTAAAAGAATCCCTTTTGCCCACTGTTTCATTGAAGCACACATTCATTGAAATACTTCAGTCTTGTATCTTTACTTTCTTCCATTGGGTGGGTCCACATCCTGCTTCGGCTCTGGTTAGTAGGCATCCACTTTGTGCATCACGCCCACATCTTTCATCCAGCCACCCATTTTCTAACCGTTTCTTCCAGTTCAGGGTCGCGGGGGAGCTGGAGCCTATCCCAGCAAGCAGTGGGCACAAGGCAGGGTACACCCTGGCTGGGACGCCAGTCAATGGCGGGGCACACAGACACAAACACACACTCGCACCAGTGCGAGTTTCCCCAGAAGCCAAACAAGCTGCCAGTATGTCGTTGGATGGGGGGAGGAGACTGGTGCGTCCAGGGGAAACCCACGCGAACATGGGGAGAACATACAACCTCCTCTGATAGCATCCCTGGTCTGGAGTTGAACCTAGTGCCCCACTTAACCACTAACCACTAATGCTAACCGCAGCTTCACTGTGCTACCTGGTCATACTGTACCTCAAATATCCACTGTATATAACGGTATGTGACATATACATACACCAAGTTACTGACTCATGACACTGCAGATCTTTTTTTCTAAACTGAAAACGCCTCAACCATTAAACACAGCAGAACGTTCTTGGATGAATTCTGAATTATTTCATGTGCACTCCGTAGAAATCTACAGAAATCCACAGAAATCACTTGATACTGAAATAGAGTAATGCTCTGGTAAGCCCGAGCTCAGAAATGCTGTATATGCTCTTGCTGTTTGCAGCAGAAAACAAATGACATTTGAGCAGGAGAATATCTCTGGAGAGCAAGCAGACTTTACTGGAAGCTAAAGGGCATTGCTTGCATGTAATAGATGTGTTGAGAGAGATGGACCTGAAGAGTAAAACAAAGTGACACTGGAGGGATTTGATAGGTATCGCTGTCTTGCGTGTGATGGCAAAGGCCAGGTCGAGAGGATATTTGGGGATATCAGAGGGAAGATTTATAACGAACATTGGTAAACTGAATACAGTGTTTGTAACATTGTTATTTCTAAAAGGGTAACATCTCACAATCTTTTCTTTGGGGCTTTCAGGAACCACCAAAATCTTTAATTAAGCTGCTTAGGAGTTTATAGTTTGAAAAGAATGCTGTAGTATGGTTTGCCTGTCTGTTCTATAAATTCAGAGTGACTCAGATGCTAAAAAAGTCCAATTTACAAATACAGAAATTGAAATCGTAACTGCCTTTACGGTAATGTTACTTCTGACCAATGGAGATTTTACTAGTTTGCTGATTAAACCTGAGTTGAGCATTCCAAATATTGCAGGAGATGCATGAACTCCCTATTTATTTTCTTCTGTTCTTGTGTTATACTTTATTTTTTCTTCTAATACAAGTATAAAGTTTGAATGATATGTGTAAACCCGTAATTTGGGTTTACAGAAACATACGTCACTGTCTCCCCATCTTAACATTTTTAAAGCTTCCTAAAAAAAAACTTTCACATAAACAAAAACGTCCTTTGCATTCTGGCCCTGTGAAATTGCATCTAGAGGATTACAGCATTTGTCAAACGTAATTACGCTAACTTCGTAATGTAAATAAATTGACTGATGGATTCAAATTGCTTAGCACAGTTCTTCACTAATCCAGGTTATGGATGTCTTCTCCTGTGAAGTGCAAATCCGTTTACTGCTGTGCCTGACTCTGATAAGGTTTGTGGGCTCCGTGGAAAGCTTATCTCTGCCATTCAGCAGCAGAAACTGCGGCAGTTGCTTTTGTGCTTTTCTGGTGTGGCATATTTTAAAGAAGTATTCCATTTTGAGCATCATTATACCATAATTAGTCTAATTAATTAATAGAAACAACTTTTTTGAAAGTAGTGTGCCTCTGTAATAATTTAATGTGTTATGGTCAGGTGAAACCTGAGCCTTATGTCTGGGTTGGTGTACTGAAGAGGTGATGGAAAGTCCTCTGGTAAGACGATAGGAGTTTCTTGTTCACATAGATAGTTTGTTAGTGTGGCTTTGTGAAACAGATTCTGCCCAAAGGCCTCATTTACATGGTCTCCTACATTGGTATGGATTGATAACAGGGAATTGGTGATAGAGTATACCATGCCTAGTTATTTACAAGTATAGTGGCATACAATTTTTTATTTGCAAAAGGCTTAATTTTAAGAAATTAAACATGTAATGTGCTGTAAGACAATAGGGCCTCCTTGCTTTCAGTAGTGCTTAGTAGACTTGCAATAGTGCCCTCTGCTTTAGAAAAAAGCACAGTACTGTTAATTGTATTTTTCTTCATTATAACTAGGATACAGTGCAAAGAAGAGCTGATAACATTTTTTATATAATATAATCTGTTCTGTAGTTAGAGGAATTTTGTGGAGCTACAAATGTCACTGTTCGACAATAGTTTTAATCAGAGATTGCAGCTGAGTTTTTAGAAAACAGCTCCCCCCCATATAGTATAGGTATCAGGGTTTTGCAGAAGCTGTCCCATTAAATTTAAGATCACGCAGTGTCTGATATGTTTGTTTAGATAGTCCACTGGAAAATAAATGCACAAACTCTCCGATTAAAAATTAGTGTTGTATAAGAGACCTTTTCTCCTGATGGAAAGATCTGACTTCAGTTTTGCTTAATTTTTTCGATTTCGTCAGCAGTATGTTTCTGTACAGCTGTGCACTTGGCTCTTGCAGAGTGTAAAAGTCATTTCTGCGCATAATATTTAGACCAGGTGAGCAGTAAATATTTTTCTTCGTGTTTACAGACCCATGACACCTGATTCCTGCTGCTTGCCTACTCGGTTGTGTCTCTGGCGGCTGTAAGATACTGACTGTATTACTTTTGCTTATCATTTACCCTTCAGTGAGGTGACCTGAATATAGAGTGGGCAGGCTCTTGTGCGTCTTTCTCTTTGACTCTTTGCAGCATCTCTCTCTCTCTGTCTCCCCCTGGCGTCTGGCTGATTGTCGACCTCCTTTCAGGAGCAGATGCTGAGGCAGGCCTGGAATGTTAATGGTGTGGAAGGCCAGGGATGATTTATTAGCTCCTGTTTAAGTTTGGGGGGGAAAAGAGGGCAGCAGGAGGAGACGACTGCATCCCTCAGTCCAGGTGGTTAGTGCTAGATCAGACGAATGAATGAGTTTCTTCAAGGCCTTTACTACTGGGTACTTACGGGGGCTGGGTTTCCATATTCTTGTTCACTATTACACTTGGCCTGAGGATTTACCTGAGCTTGCTGCTGACTCTATGTGAAATGCTATATGGGCGATGCTGCGATGTTGAAGACGCTTAAACTGCTTTAGGATATTTGAAGAGCGATATATATATATATTGGTTCAGGTGGGTAGCTGCGTCAGCATGCGTAGGCTGCGAAGGAACAAGTAATAGGTTTATTCCATGCTGGAAAAAAAAAAAGAAGAAAGAAAACAGCGTTTCGGCCGTGGAGCCTTCATCAGGACACCTGAAGAAGACTCCACGGCCGAAACGTTGTGTTTTCTTTCTTCTGTTTTTCAGCACGGAATAAACCTATTACTTGATATATATATATATTACATTATGCTTTACTTGTGCTTAATTCAAAGCTGAGAGCTGGCGAATCATTCCTTAGTATGCTGGAGCACTGAAAACCTCAGTCCTGACAGGGGTAGTGACTGATTCCTTTTCAGTGAAT